CTTTGATACATATAATTTATAAATTAGAAAATTGTTAGTTTAGTGCAGATGGATCATCTTTAAAGATCCTGATTTTGTATCCACGGGCATCAAAAGGAAAACAATACCACTGAGACTTTAAAACTATGGAGAGGCAGTTAAAGAAATCAATGAGCAGTAGAGTCTAGATGCTGTTGTAGATTCCACTCAGCAGTAAAGTGCCTCTTTAAGGCGCCAGAAATATTTTGCTCAATCAAAGGTTCCTTATCCATGAGGACTCTCGGCCAAAATTTTCCAAGGACCTTGGGAAGATATCCAGTGGGATTTACAAATGAGTACTAAGTGATTACTCTCAAAGCATTCACTGTCAAATTGAAGCTAATGGTCAGACCTCCAAAGTATTAAATACCCTTGAATGTCTCTGTGGTATTTTATATAGCATCAGTTTTCTTGACTTTTTTTTTTTTTTAAAAGCACTTCTAAACCTTTCACCTCGTGTTTGTGGGACTCTTACAATCAGAATTATCATCATACCCTTGATCCTGCTGGATCTGATTGACTATTGAATGCAACCTATGCAATAATAGATGTGCATGTGTGAATATAATTATCTGAAAACCTGCACATGTATCTGGTCTCCTGCTCAAATTGAATGGTACCATTTTTCACTACCTTTATTGGATCTAGCAGGTGCTGGAATCCATTGCTGGGGAAAGGGTGCTCATGCAGGCATCCAGCCTGAACTGTGATCATGTTATTTTTTAGCCATATTTTCTGTTTGCCATCCCATTTTCCTCACCTACTTCTTTCTGGATACTGTGAAATGAAGAATGCCATGGTTTCTCATTCTAGCTATGATGTCCTGGGCAGCAGAGAGGAGGGGGCTGAGTCTCACTTAGGGCAGCAGCTGGTGCCAGGGACCGCTCTTTGTCCTCAGGAACCCTCAAGGTTCTTCACACACCACAATTTCCTTTATGGGGACACCGAGGCTATAGCAGACAGGTGGGAGGTGCTTGAGGTGTGTTTTTCCTCCTCCCAAAGCACAGATGGGTCATGGTGGAGATGCTCAGTTTAGCTCCTTCCAAACTGAGATGCAGCGTTAGTGTCTTTATGGGAAATCACTAAGAAATTGATTTAGAAACCATCCAGTTTTGATAGAAATTATTTGGAGAGTACTAAAGGCTGTTTCAAAGCAGGAATGAACTTTTGAACCTTTCACTAATTGTCTTAAGTAACATATTTCTCTTGATACTTATCTGCCAGATAATCTACAGGGACTGACTTTTTTTAAAAAAAAATCAATTAATTAAACCATTATTTATAGTGGTTAATTTTCTTTGTGTAGTGTTTTGGAGGAGAAATACCACACTAAGTGAAGAATTGATTTAAAGACTTAAACTACCAAGAAAAATAGAAAATCTATTGCTGCTTTCTTTATGTTGGTTTCTTCATATATTCTAGAAAGATCATTAACTTTAGCTGTAAATTTATGTTCTCCAGAATTGTGTTTCTGCTGATACAATTTCTGTGGGCTGAATTCTGGTTTTCAGCTTTTAAGAGTAGTACATGTATAAGGTTCAGTGGAGGTGATTAGATCAAAAATTTGCATTTAAACTAGTGCACTTTATTTCATTCACCAGAGTACTTTCATACGGACTTTCTGAAAAGATGGCTTTAATCTGTATATGTATTTAAAATAAGACTGAAAGTCAAAGACAACCCTGTGCTACCTATTTTATAGAAAAAGATACATTTTATTATGTGTAGCACAAATAAAATATTGACAATAACTATGTCGATGTTCCCACTACACAGCCACTTTGCCTGTTGGTGCCATGAAACATATGTAATATCCTTTGAATCATCTTGCTTCACACTCATTAACAGCTTAAAATACTGAAAGGGAGTGGGGCCATTTTAAATGATGTGAGGCTCCTGAGAAGGTTTTAGAGAGTGTGCCCTAAATTACTGCACCAAGTCTTTCTGCTGCATCTTCTAGAAACCTAGCTCCACATCTGCAGCCTTCTGTCTCATCCCTCAGTACCAAGTCATGGCCTTCAGCACTCTCCATCCATCTCACTGCTGGCTCTTGTCCAGGTGCTCCCTTCTCTGTGCCCTCCCCAGTGGGGTGCAGAGATGCCACCTTACAGCAGCAAGTGCCTCTGAGCCCAGACATTCACAGCAGCTGCCACCTGCAGCCTTCTGCAGGAAAGGAAACCTCCCAGGACCAGCAATGTCCTTGCAGGCACCGTGTGGTGGTTCTTACTGCCCACTCTGCAGTGCCTGATGTGCAGGAGGGGCTTGAATTGGTTCCACCCCAAAGAATATTTTAAAATGTGAGGAATCTAGGCAGTTCTCTTGGCATGGTAGTGGATAATGCCATTTGGGTATAGAAATGTTATGAAAATATAAATTTTGTTTATTTAATGGTAAGAACAAAAGATAAATTTTCTCAATGTAATATTTCTTGAAGTTTAAAGAAAGCTTTTTTTTCCCCCCAGAAATGAGGATAATTAATGTTTTTCAGAAATAAAAAAAATAACTGAAACATTCATAGTCATAGGTATCAGGGTTATCTAAGAATATATGTTCTCTCAGGTGGTGGAGGAGTTGAAGTGATAAAGTGAGTTTTAATAAATCTACTTGGAGAGGGAAAGGTATATTGGGTATTAAGAAAGAATAATTGAATACATTGCAGGAAAAAAACATTGGTACTACTAATATCTGTTTATTGATTTACATTAGACGAATCTTGACATTTTTGTTTCATGAAAAAGAGGGTTCATATTTTAAGAGAGAATGTCATTTGAGGGTCCTCTGGTCATAATTCAGTAAAAAAACCCAGAAAACCTTTAAGAATCAAGTCCAGCTGTAAACACTACACTGCAAGTCTTTGAAAAAAAGAGCATTTTAAATATTGGTAAAAAGTAGTACTATTTTCTTTTTTTTTTTTTTTCAGTAGGGATATGGAAAGAAAAGAATTTTGAAGGAAAAAGTAGAAACAAACAAAAAAAACCCCAATCAAACCTCACATCCCCCTAAATTATAATAATGAAAAATTAAGATGCTGAGCATAATAGAAATTAATGTAATTTAATTTGTAATAATTAATTAATTACATTCTTTCTCTGTGTATGCTTTTGTAGCTTTTCTCGTTTAAAGTAATAGGCACAAGTTGCATTGTATTTTTTTTTTCAGCCTCTGAGTTGCTGCTTCTAAAACAATCCAGGTGGGTGGTAGCCTGAAATAACTACATTCTCATATCTACTCACACCCCTGCCTTATGCAGTGGCATGTGATGAGTTTTGTGTGCTTTTTGTGACTCATTGCTTTTGCAGCTCCTACCCTTGTCCCTCATGGCATGAGCAGTGGAGTAGGGCCTGGGGAAGATGTCCCTTGCTGTTGTGCACTTCTCTGGTGGCCAAAGGCAGTGCTGAAGTGACTCCTGTGCAGCCACCAGTGCCAGCCCCACAGCACTCCCCAAACTGGACTCCTGCCCACACAGGTTTCCATTAGCAGGGCAAAGCTTCCCAGCATCTTCGTTCTGCTTATTTCTGGGCTGCTTGTAGTTTATTGCCACACTCAAGTTTATCTTTGCTAAATTTCAAGTTTATCTACGCAAGTAATCTGTCCTGACTGCCCTGTCCTTTGCCTTCCTTCTTCCCTATGTTAATAACAATAACAATAATAATAATAAAAATGCAAAAGGACTTCATTAAACACTTTCAGAGCACTGAAACGATTACATTTAACTAAAGAGGTAGTAAGAGAAATGGATGAATTACTGAAGAAATGTAAAGCTAACCTTTATGTCATCTAATTCTTTCCCCTTTTTATTATCTATTACTTATTTTGTAAGACCTTGTCCAATGTGAAATCTTGTGAGTAGCCATGCTATCAACTATACAACATTCAAGAGAGATTTATTTTCCTTTCGTCAAAGGAAATAATATTTATTTAGAACATTTCGTAGGCTGTGCAGCAAGACTTAAGCCTGATGGAAACCCCCAAGGCAAGGATACAATGTTTGAGTGGGTGGTGCTGCAGGTTGCTTCATTTTCCAGCTGCTTCACATAATTTAGGGAATGCCATAAGCTTGAATTTAATCCATGCAGTATGCCTATGCTCTTCTCCCTATAAACTGTCCTCTTCTTGCTGCTCTCTCCCCCTCCTGATGGTTTGAGATTGGCTGTTTCTAGAGAGATTTTGAGAAATACATATTTCAGTGCACATCAGTTGTGTAAGCTAGGTATAAACTGAAGATCTGTGGGCTTGGTCTGCAATAAAATCTCCCAGAGCTTGTGGTGTCCTTTCAACAGATGGGGCAAGGGGGCTGTTTGTAATCTTTTCCATTTTAGCACTGGAGGCTTAAGCTGCAGCTGCAGAATAAGTCTAGATTTTGTACTTCTTGAAATTTTTTTTGAAATAGATTTTCCTTTTGAAAATTTATGGAGGTCAGTAGAGATGAAATATGGCAGAAGTTATTCCTGAGGTTGCCCATGGAACACAGGTGGGACCCCCACAACATTAGCCCAAGGACCAGCACCTGCTGCTCTCTGCTACCCCTCCATCCAGTCCTGGAGCTTCCCATCAGGAACAGGCTTGTGCAGGGGACTCGTAAGCAAAATGAAAATGTTCCCAGCCAGCATTCTAGGACCTATTTTATGGACTTGTTAATGCAAGGATGGGCAGAACAAAGGGATAGCCATGATAAATACCCGAGTTATTAATCGCAGAGCAGAGGAACTGCTGACTGGGAATGCAGCAAGTGTTTGTGTCACTTAGCTTATTTTCACTCTCTGGTGGGTAATAACTGGGTATAATATATGGATTCAGTTGAGTACCAGTGCCACTGTGTTTTTTAGTTTTATTTCTATTTTTCTTATGAGAATTCCCTTGCCATCTGTGTGGGGCATCACCACTTCGCCAGTTTGTCAAGAATCAATTATTCCCACAGAATCACAGAATAGTGTGAGTTGGAAGGGACCCAGAGGGATCACCAAGCCCAGCTCTTAAGCAGATGGCTCATACAGGGATTGAACCCACAACCTTGGCTGGGTTAGCACCATGCTCTGACCAGCTGAGCCAACCCCAGGGTCTTTGCATTGTGGTTAAAGCATTTGAGAGGTAAACTCCTGCCTACAGCACTTCTCAGTATATGAGTAGAAATCTAATGAAAGGTGATAGCACAATTCAGAAGGGGTTGAATTTTTTTTTTTTTTTAATTTATTTTGAATATTGACTCTATTACTGGCTGTGACATAAATAGAAGCTACAGTCTGATTCTTTGCATACATTAATGCAGGTGAGTGATCTCCAAATAATAGAATGTGTTTTTAGGAGTTTCAGTTCATAATTGCAGAATTTTTGTTTTCTAGGAGAGTATTTGACTAAAATCTCAAAACCATGAAACAGTGTGTTAAAACAATATACAGATAGTGCTATGCATTCCTTACAGTTAAACCCTCTAGCTGCTTCCTCAACATTAATTCATCTGAATTTTCCAGATCGACTTTTTAAATGAAGGATGTATTGTGATTGCATTAAGCTTTCCTGATTTAATGTTACTCTGCAGTTGCACATAGTGTTGACAGATCCTGGTCACTGAAGATACTGCTTAAAAAAGGAATAAATAATTTAATGTCTATGAAAATGTCTTCAGGTGAAATCTGGCAAATAATGTGGATGGGGCTCTCAAACAGAAACCACTGGTGGCAGGAGAGCATTGTTCTATCACCCAGAGAGATGGGAGGAGTGTGAGACTTACTTGTGAGGTAATTATTGTTCATTATCATGTTGTACTACCCAAGTGTCAGATGTATTAGAAAGGCTCTGTGGTACTGCTTTGGGCATTTCTCCTTAGCAATTCTCCAGAACAGTGAAGGGAATAGGCATTTGGATAATATTGGGATGGACACGATTTTTAAAGGTTTCATATTTGTAATAAAAAGTGCAGAACAAATCAGCAGATAGGCAGAATGGGACAGTGTTGAAAAAGCATTAAATCACCATGAATTTTATGGAACAAGATGATGAAATATATTAAAATAAGATGCACAGCAGCTACATCTTACACCTTTCTTTTCTCATGTTTGTCACATCACTGATACTTTATCTTGTTGGTCTCCAGGTCTCATTCAGTATTTGTAACCTTGATCAGATTTATCTGGAGCTCAAGTTTCTGCTTTTGATTTAGTCCTCTGTACCTTTTGTGTGCTGCACTGTCTTTATTACTCTCCCTCTGTGATTCTAACAGAACATATTAACATTGATTGAAGTCTCCAGCTGCCTGTTCTATGTGCTTCACAGGCATTTAGTCCTGTATTCACTTTCAGTGTGACAATTAAAATCACTTCAGTTCATGTCACTGGAATTAATTGCTGGCATTGCAGGTGACTGGGAATTCAGCTGGCTCAGGACAGCAGTGCTTGGTAGGTTTCATGTCATCATACTTGTGATGGCCTAAAAAGTGAGTAAAGGAGAGTGCAAAATCTCCATGAAGTGATTTGAACGTTTCTGACTCTAAAAAAAACTGTAAGCAGATTATGTATTCCTTATAATGTGAAATGCACTTTGAAGTATAAACTGTCCAGGGAAATATTTAGCAGAAACACATTTTTGCCTCACCTCTTAAATATCTACTCAAAATACATATGTAAAGTAATAGGGGCTTAATAGTTGATTGATAAATTGATTTTCCAGCTGCTGACTTCATAAGGAAAAATGTTGACTTTGATATTATGGTATGTAACTCAGAATCCACAGGAGCACAGATTTAACTTAGCAGCAGCTGTCAGAGAGGAAAGGGGAATTTCTTTTGATGACATAGGGATATGGTAGTCTTCAGCACAGACTGCATTTTATAGCAGTAGTTTTCTGTTTAGTAATTGGATATGGCAGAAGAACAGAAATCTGTTAACTGTAATATTTTGAATACTGGTGATGACTTAATGCAGCCCTTAAAAAATTGAAAGAGACACATGAAATAGGGATGATCCTTTTTACTCTTTTAATTTGCATGTCTCTCCTAAAATATTAGGGACTTTTTTTCATTCTTTCAGTTGGCTTTTAGGGTCAGACTTTGCTGTTTTCCTTAACATTGGACACATGGAAGTGTTTCAGGTTGCTGTTCTCACCTGCCAGTAGGAGTAAGATCACATACAGAAAGATTAGCATTGCTTTTAAAGCTCATTGGTTACAGTTTGGGGAAAAACATGTACCAAATAGAAAGCTCTGAATACTTGCAAGCACATACCCCTGAGAAGACACTTTTAGGATCAGGGCTTTTGCAAAGGTGAAACCTATTCTTTTATAAAGCCTGCTTTTCACTCACCTACATTTTATGTTGTTTTTTAAATTTTCCTCTACCATTATTTACTAATTACCTGTCTTCCTGTGATTGTGTTCTCACATTCTCATGTATATTGATCTTTACATCAAAGTGCATCTCAAAGTAAATATTTAGCAATGTGTTAATGAAAAAAAAAATACACACTCAAAAAATCAATAAAGCAAACAAGCAAAACTAAAAAAAATGGCAAACAAACATCACCAAAATAACCACCAGCACTCCTCCCCACCATAAACAATGTCAAACAAACCCAAGTTTTACAATTTCTCATATGTCATTGGATATCTCTCAGTCTTGTACTGAGTGCATCTGTGTTTCTGACAACTGAATTATTTCCCTTCTTTACCTAAGCTGTACAATGTATTTTCTGAGGAGTCTCTTTAGATCTACCTTGAACCTTATGTCACCCCATTTGCATCTGTCATCATCTTTGTGGGCACAGCCAGGTGCCAGAAGCCTGTATTTACCCCTCTCCTGAAGGGCAACACCATAACTGATCACTCCATCATTCTTTTTGGACTCCCCCAAGAAACTTTATCATGATTCTTACAGAAAATATTTTGGAGGTGGGTCTAGACCAATGTTCATCATTAGTAATAATGATTTGTATGTTTCCAGCTTGCTCTGATTTTCATTTGCATCTTTGCATCCTATATCCTCTACAGGTAGTCATAAAAATTATTTAGGATGGGCAGCATCTTTTTGCTGGAACTCATAGACAGCACTGGGGGTTTGTTCCTGCACATGTTGGTGCAGAACCTTCCATCTGCACCTTGGTACGATTTACTGATCAAAATTGGAGAACACCACCCTCTTTTCAAGCATGAGGGAATAATGTTGTGTATGAGGAAGAGAAGTCCCACATTTCCCTTGTCCCTCTGTCTATACTTGTCCCAAGGTAGTCTAAGTGCAGGCTTACATGGTCCCCAATTGGTCCTGGGGCAACCAATGCCCTTTGGAAATCCAGCCTGGAAGCTGGGAAGTGTCACAACACTTGCTCAAAGGGCTGGTGTCTGAAACAGTCTGTTATCAGAACAAATAAAAGGTTTTGTTTTCCAGCACTTGTTGCTATTTCAATCTTCATTTCTACTCATCAACTGCTATTTCTGTCTTACCTTATTTTCAGACGATTGAAGAAATAATATTTCTTATACCACAGTGGAGTTATCACACTCCACTGGAGGTTTATTTTTGAAATACCAGGCTGTAACTGTTGCCAATTTTTATTTTTGTTTAGTTTCTTTGTCTCTTGAATTTAGCATTCATTGACAGAAAATCCAGATACTCCAGTATCTGTATTTATTTTGATTGCCATTTTTGTTTCTTGATGTGCTACATAATTAATTTTGCTACCTTGTGATGCTAAGGTCCCGAACAAAGGATTTCAGCGAGTGTTGGAATTTGAAATGGTAAAAAGGTTTCACATAAAATTCAGAAGCAAATTTGACAAAGGATTGGAAAGATCTGAATAATGATCAGGGATGACATATTTTGTCTTTAGAGAGTTTTAGAGTTCTAGAATATATTGCCTTTGCTACTTGCTAGATTCAGATAGTGTATTCAAGATTATTACGCATTAAGGTAATAAAAGAATCTTCCAAGTAAACTTAAAATAAGAGAATTGTTACAAAGTCCCAATCTTCAAGATAACTACTTCTAAAGCTTTATAGAATTTATGGAATTAGAGTTGTCAAGATGGGGTGCAGGAGAGAAGAAATGTAATTCTGTTTCAAACTGCTGCTTTTTTATTTTTCTTCTAAAATTCCATTGTCCATAAAAATACGCTTAGAGAACTTTTATGGCTATTGACTTTTTGATTTAGAGTTGTGATTTGTAGCCACTTTTGCCTGAAAGGTTCTACAAAATTGTTAGGGAAAAATAATTTTTTTAATATTTTTTTTCTCGTAACCAGATAGGAGGATATTGGTTTCTGTTCATGTAAATACTCTGTTGTAGCAAAAAGAGTGCTGGTTATGTGATGTTACACGCTTTTCTCTTTCTTCTAATTTTACTCCCAATGTTCAGCGGAATACAAAAAGAAAGTTTCCATCAATGCTTTCCCAGAATCAAAAGCTTTAGGTGTTTTTTCTTGATTTTGCAGGAGTTTCTTTTCTTTGCAGAGTGACATCATTCTTCCTCATACAGAAAAGTGAGTAAAAGAGTCTTAAATTGTTTTGACAAACACACTGAATATTTTTTCTTTTTAAATTCAAGGTAAGAAAAATTGCATTTATTGTGAGCTTTTTATTGAACTTCAATTACTCTAGCCAACCAAAATTACAGTGCTGAAAGTGTTTCAAAAATATATCCTGAGGATATTGCAGTTACAATATTTGAATTGAGTTTTCTAGCTCTTCCTAAGAAAACCTGAACTTCATCTACCTAATGTTTTCAAGTTAAAGACTAGACCCTCTCTTCTACCTTTTTCAAATTCAGTGGCAAGGAATATTTAGTTTCATAAAACTCTTCCAAAATGCTTAGGAAATAATGTTCTAGCAGGTTCCCTACTCTGTGAGCTGGTGTACTTGCAATAGTTTATTTTATATAATTTGAAAACTTGATGTCCAGTTTTGTCGCTCCAGTGCACAAAAATGTCTACTGTGAAAAAGGACATGTTTTCAAAGTGCTCTGTCTAATCAAAAAATTAAAATTAAAAAAAAACCCAAACCAAACAAAAAAA